GGGGTTGTTAAACAATGTCATAAAACAATATGTGTACTACTGTTTCATGAGAAACTATTTGTTCTGTAAGCCTTCACCTGAAGTACAATAAAAAAAATATAGATTCCTATTTTCCACATAAACAAGCTTTTCTGTTCCACAGTTAAGGTATTTCACAATAAGAGCTCTGCCTTTCTAAACTTACCTGCAACTCCTCTGAAACATTTCCACTCACTGGAACCAAGCTCAAGTACTCACTTCTCCACAAATATAGTATGCTCTCCCATATCTAGGCCATTGTTCATGTTATTCCTATACCTATAACAATCCTACCCATTAATCGAGGTCTATTTCAGATGTCACCTCTGTGAAACCTTTCCCAACTCCCCCTCATGATGGTTCCTTTTTTTGAAACCCCATAACACTTGACTGGTACTTCTTTTAAATCATTTATGATCTACTTTGCATTATGGCAATAAAATAAAACATCTTATCCTGATGATTTGAGGGAAGACATTTGCTTTACTCACATTTGAAAACCTCACAGTGCTAAGAACAACAGTTTGTAGGACAAGTTCTCAATAAATATTTTCAGGGTAGAGAAAAGAATAAGTAAAAAAGAGAACATATAAAGAAGAAATAAAGTGATAAGACCTGGGCTCTAAAACAAAATATCTGCTCTTATGTGTAAGAGTGGTAACCAAATTATAGCCAAATCTCATTTATACTTCTGAGCAGAAATTTTTTATTAGTGTATTTTTTATGGAAACCTAAATTTACTTATTTTTAGTTTACCACTTACATTGTGCTTCACTATGTGCTGGGCACTGTTCTAAGCCATTTATATGTTAACTTATTTAATCTTCTTAACAACCCTATTTTACTTTACTTTACAAATGAGGAAAATGGGGCACAGAGACTATGAAACTTGCCCAAGGTTAGAAGGTTACTGAGTGGCAGAGCCCAGACAGTTTTACTCCAAAGATCACACTATTCACCATGACAATATTTGTACCTAAAGATAAATACGTCCCTGATTCAAAATCTAAATAAATTCAAAATAAGTCCTTTCTTGAAAACTCAGGGTCATCACTATAACTTTGCCTTAATAAAACGTGTTACAGTACAGTGAGACACTGAAGAGGCTGCTGAACTGTAGAGGGTCCCTACACTGAATGGTACCAAAAATGCCCAGCTTTTGTAGCTGTTTTTTAGGGTTTTTTTTTTGTTGTTGTTGTTGTTTTCCCTTGATACCATACCCATACCCGTTGCCGTCAAGTCAATTCTGACTCATAGTGACCCTACAGGACACAGTAGAACTGCCCCAAAGGGTTTCCAAGGATGTAAATCTTTATGGGAGCAGACTGCCACATCTTTCTCCTGCAGAGCAGCTGGTGGGTTCAAACTGCCGACCTTTCGGTTAGCAGCCCAGCACTTAACCACTCAGCTACCAGGGCTCCTTTTCTCTCTGATGTTAACTGTTATTTACCACTTACGTTACCAATGTGCCTATAATGCCTTCATCTTCTTTCCAATTACTGGGAACTAGGATCCCGGCTTACCAGAAATATATATTAAATAAGAGTCAACAAGGCTTGAAGGAGCTTTTTATAAAGTTCATTGTGCTTTGTTACAACCAATGATCTGTATCAGGAGTAGCTGAGTCTGCTAGAAGTAGAGGCTGTTAGAAATTTGATCCACAGAAAAATCAGGCATTACCATATGCTTTCTGTTGACTGCATAAAATAATTATGTAAACTAAATGAGGGTCCTAAAAGTTAGCAGTACTCCCTCAAACGTAGCTTATATCAGCCCACGGGGTCATAACCAGAAAATGTTATAGTATTTCTTAGTTATAGCAACAAACAATCCATTAATTTCTCCTATTACCTTTGCGCCACCCAAAAATCCCAGGGAAATGGCAACTCTAGCTCGTAGATCAGGCCTGTCCTCCGGCCACACATAAGAAAGCATTGCTTTTATGATTTTCCGAGTATCAACATCTTTCAGCTGTTGAAAGAGAAAACAAAGCAGTGAGTAACATGTCATTTCAGATGTAACCATACTTCAATAATGTGGAATTGAATATTTGAGAGCTATATGAAAACATTACAAATATAACTGTTATTCTCAATCTAAGGCTAATATCTTTCAAATTCAAACTACTTTATAGAAAAATTAATTCAATAGCTTTTTAAAAAGCTACTCATTTCTCTTAATTTCTTACTTTCAAGTATAGCCACCTCATATTTCCAAAGTTATTCAGTAAGGTTGAGGGGACTTGTACTATAGTTGTTTTTTTTAATCCATTAAGCTATCAAAAAATTACATAAAATTTTAGAAACATTTCCATATTCACCCCTCTGTGGTCGAAAGCTTTATATACTTTTTAAAAAATATATTTTATTGTGTTTTTGGTGAAAGTTTACACAGGAAATTAGGTTCTCATTTAAGAATTTCTATACGTATTGTTCAGTAACATTGGTTACATTCTTCAGAATATATCAGCATTCTCATTATTTCCAGTTTGATCATTCTGTTTTCATTAATGTAGCTTCCCTGTCCACCCTTGCCTTCTCACCTTTGGTCGAGAATAAATGTTAACCATTTGGTTCCATCTAGATGATCATTTTCCGTAGCACAGTACTCACAGGTGATGTTATTTATTTTGTCGGCTCATCCGTCATTTGGGTGAAAGGTAACCTCAGGGAATGGTTTGAGTTCCAAGTTGAAAGAGTATCTCAGGGTGACAGTCTCGGGGACTTGCCTAATCTCTACTGCTCCAGTTAAGTCTGGCTTTTTTTTTTTTTTTTTTTTTAGGAATTTGAGTTTGGTTCTACATTTTTCTCCTATTCTCTCTGGAACCATCTATTGGGCCCCTGGTTGAAATGCTCAGTAGTGGTTGCCAGGCACCATCTAGTTCTTCTGGTCTCAAGGTGGGTGATGTTGTTGTTCATGCAGACTATTGATTCTGTAGACTATTTTCTTCTTTGAGTCTTTGGTTTTCTTCTTTCTCTTTACTTCCGGACAAGTAGAGACCAATGGTTGTATCTCAGATGACCACTCACAAGCTTTTAAGATCTCAGACACTACTTACCAAACTAGGATGTAGAACATTGTCTTTATGGACTGTATTATGCCAACTGATTGAGCTGCCCCACGAGACGATGGTCCTAAGCCCTCAAACCCAGTAGAGTAATCCCGTGAGGTGTTTGACTGTGTCTAGGAAGTATCCATAACTGTTCCTCCTATGTGTAAAAGCTTTATATACTTTTGAACTCTTTACTAGCATTTTTATTTAAAATATTTTAGAGTTCTAAGTGGAAACTCATAGTAGACCAGAATTACAGTAGTGCTTAGAAAAGTAGAGGCCTTGATATTGACTATATAAAACAGGTGTGTCATGGATTGAATTATGTCCCACCAAAAATGTGGGTATCAATTTGGCTGCGCCATGACTCCTGGTATTGTGTGATTTTCCTATATGTTGTAAATCCTGCCTCTATGATGTTAATGAGGGAGGATGGGTGGCAGTTGTGTTAGTAAGGCAGGACTCAATCTACAAGATTGGACTGTATCCTGAGGCAATCTCTTGAGATATAAAAAGACAGAAGTGAGCAGAGAGACAGGGGGACCCTCACACCACCAAGAAAGTAGTGCCAGGAGCAGAGCGTGTCCTTTGGACCCGGGATCCCTGCACGGAGAAGCTCCTAATCCAGGGGAACACTGATGAGAAGGCCGACAGAGGGAGAAAGCCTTTCCCTGGAGCTGATGCCCTGAATTTGGACTTTGAGCCTACTTTACTGTGAAGAAATAAATTTCTCTTTGTTAAAGCCAACCACTTGTGGTATTTCTGTTGTAGCAGCACTAGATGACTAACACAAGGTGTTAGGGTAATTAAAATTTTAAACAAAAACGCAATTTTCTAGGGTAACGTGTACTGTTTAATGAGAAACTATTTTGTTCTGTAAACCTTCATCTAAAGTGAGAATAGCAGCACAATTGGAAGAGCGTAGTCGATGTCACTGAACTGTGCACGTAGAAATTTTTGAAATGGTGTATCTTTGGCTATGTATATTTTCACCAAAAAAAAAAAAAAAAAAAGGTCAAGAAGGGAGAGGGTTGACATGTTGTGGGGTTGTTAACCAATATCATAAAACAATATGTGTACTACTGTTTAATGAAAAACTATTTGTTCTGTAAACCTTCACCTAAAGTACAATAAAAAAAAGAAAAAAAATGCAGTTTTTCAATCATGCCTAATCTGACCTAAACACATCTCACATTTTTCTTTTCACCATGCTCCTCAAGCAACATTCCCATTAAACCCTTTTGTTTTGTTTCACTTTTTTATAGGTGGAATATTAAGAATTAAAACCAAACCTCCAAAAACCAAAATATGATCAATACATTTATATTCCAAAAACTACTATAGTTGGTGCAACAATCCTCATTCAAAACACTGAAATATAACTCAACTTTTAGCAAAGGTATTTTAAAAAAAAGATAACGCTCATTGTTGGTGAGGGTATTTGAAAATGGGCACTCTTAATATACTGTTAATAGGAAAGTACACTAAACAACCTTTCTGGAAAGCAATTTGATAGTATTTACTTTTAAAATAAGTCCACCCTTTGATTCAATAATTCCCCTTTTGGGAATTTATTTTAAAAAATACTTAAGAATATGCTCAAAGTGGAATCAATTTTACTTTCTAAAAATATTTTTAATCTTTCTACTTTTTTTTCCACTTCCACCACCAACCTAATCTGTTACCATTTCTGACCTAAACCAGTGCAACAACCTCCTGATTTTCCAGCATCAACTCCAGTCCCTCTCCAAGTAATTCACTCTGCAATCATGTATTACTCTCAGCTTAAAACTCTGTTATGGCATCCTGTCAGTCTAAGGGTAATATGGCTTACAAGGCTTTGCTTGGTCTGGCCCCTCCCTACTTCTCCACTATGTCTTACACCACTGCTTTCAGTGTTCATGCCATGTTGGCATTATTACAATCCTCAAACATGCCATAATCCCTTCCGTCACAGGAACTTTGCAAAATAATGCGACCTCTTCCTGGAATAGTCTCTATTTCTACAACACCTCACCCGCCCCCTCCCACCACCTATCAACTAGCTAACTGCCAGCTCCAGTAGTAGTTCTTCAATGAGGCTCTCCCTAACCCTAGTCATGATTCTTTGCTGCATTCTCACAGAACAGTGGCCCTTTTTTTCAGAGTATCCATTTTAGTTATAACTACACATACAGCAGTATATTACACTAATATCTGCTTCTTCATTAGAATATAAATTCCATGTGAGTAGTAAATGTGTGTTTCATGCCCACAGTTATAAACCAGTATCAAATACAGAGGTTAACATGTAGTACGAACCAATATTTATTGAATAAAGGAATGAAAAATTTAGCTACAAGGATATTTTTGCCTATGCTGTTTTAATAAGAAAAAATTGGAAACCACCTAAGTGATCAACAATGGAGAACTGTGTAAACAGAGTGAATGAGTACAACTAAATACAGCCATTCAGAAACATATGCAGTAACATGGAAACTTCTTAAGTGAAAAAAGCAGGCTACAAAACTTATTTTTTGTGGTAAAAAATGTGATGTATATATGAGTTTGCATGTGCATACAAGTGGATCTGGAAAGCAATATCTCTAAAAGTGTCTGCATCAGTGACAGTGAGGGGGTAGAACTATGCAGAATTTTTTATGTTCTTTTTACTTGTTTTCTGCAATTCACTTATAATAAGAAAAAAGTTAACTTATTTAGAGAGAAAAAGTTATGCAATTTCAAGTAGATTTCTACAGCAAGGAATGGTATCAACGTATAAGAAACCCAGAAAAGCACATTATGTAATACAAGGTAGTTTTATACTATGGTTATACCCCAGGGCTCAGCAAACTGCTCTTCTAGTCTCTTTTAGTCAGTTTACTGAGTAAAAAGTAAGAGAAATAGAGAAACCTCCAGCAAAATGGCACTCTAGGCAGAAGCACCACGCTGTCCCTCCAAAGCAAAGATCTGAAAAACTAAGCCAAACAGAGAAAACAGCAATCCTGAAACTCTAAAACATCAAATGAAAAGATAAAGAACTCAGCCAAACACCAAATGGAGTGAGAAAACTGACAGAGAATGGAGAGCGAGGAGAGATTCATGCACAGGTAACCTATCAGCTACCGCAGTGCGGATACACCATCTTGGACCCCTATCGGAGACAAGCAAACAGGGAGTACGAGAAAGCAGCTTCACGGAGCTTCCAGCAGGAGACAAAACAATCGGTAATTTGCGATATACGCTTTCCCAACCCCCACCCTTCTTCACCCACACTCGGCCTCCTCTGCTTCCTGCGGCCAGTCTCTTGTCCAGAAAGCACCGGCTGCTTGAATTCCACCCACCCACACTGTCCGGCTCCTTGAGTGCCATTTGTTGGCTGCTGGTGTTGCTTTTTTCTGCTTCTTTTGATTTCTTCCGTACCTCTCACCACCTCCCCCTCCTTTCGCTCAAATACCTGGCTCCGTGAGCCATCTTTGCTTCTTCTTGAGGGGCTACGGAGCTCCGTTCGAGTGTGGAACTGCTTCCCAGTCTGGGCTGCCATGGTGGTGGGATCCCAGGGCTTTAGTTTGTTTTGAATTGCTTCCTTGTTTTCTTTTCCTTTTCTCGAGTTGGGAGCCTGTTCTGGCCAGGAGGTGCTGCGTGGCTTGGGACCTAACCCCTCCGGTGCGCAGACATGCAGAGGGATCCCTGAAGGCACTTCTTTTTTGTGGGTTTTTTTATGGGGACGTTTCTTGTTCTTTTTTTAAAACTTGTTTTGTTTTCTTTTTCCCTTTTTGTCTTTCTTCATTACTCAGTTTCTCGTCTCTCTATATCTTCCTTCTCTTTCTGTTCCCTGGAAACCTACGCCTTCTAGCCAGGCTGTACTGCAACACCTGAGAACAACTTCCCCAGACCACGTAGCCACACCGGTGGGATCCCTCGGAGCGTTGCTCTTCAT